GAATAATTTTTAAACAAAAATTTTCAAGACAGAGAGGAGAAGGTAGAAATGACTCAGCCTGTAACTGAAAATGTGGATGGAGGACAACAGAGCTGCTTCATGGAAGAAGAACCTCAGCTTAGCCTGTTAGCCTTTGTGCTAGCGCTGACGCTATATTGCCTTATATGTATTAGCTCAGTGCTAGTGCGACAAACAAGCTAAAATGAGGTCCTCCATCCATATTTGCAGTTGCAGACTGAGTCATTTTTGCGTTCCCCTCTCTGTCATGTAGATGGAGGACCTCAGTGARGAGAGGAGAATGTGTAGCGCTGAGCTAATACGTATATATGGTGATAGCTAAACATCCTACAGTATTTTTACAGTCTTTATATTTATGGTTAAAATATATGTTTATCAAATAAAGTCTAATGTTACAACTAATAGGGGATCCCATCCATCCATCCATTTTCTTCCGCCTATCCGGGGTCGGGTCGCAGGGGCAGAAGCTTCAGAAGGGAGGCCCAGACCTCCCTTTCTCCAGCCACTTCTTCCAGCTCCTCCGGGGGAACTCCAAGGCGTTCCCAGGCCAGCCGAGAGACATAGTCCCTCCAGCGTGTCCTGGGRCTTCCTCGGGGCCTCCTCCGGAGGGGATCCCTTTAAGAATTATTCAAATGGTTATAGACGAATATGTTTAGACATTTATTAATGCTTTTATTTTGAAATGAGGGTTTTATTTTGAAGATGGTTTCTGCAGTTTCTCTTCTTTATCCTTTGTCTTTCTGTAAAGGATGTGCTTACAGCAATGCAGCAGTCAGTGAAGGTGTAAGTTGGGTTCATAGTGATGTGAAATGATTGTGTAAATGTTATTTACCACTTATGATAGTGTTGGTTAGCCACTGGTATCTATTTACTGCCTTTAAAATGTCAGTTTTTACTTGTTAGTACACTGGTGTCATCCATCRGTTTTTTTCCACTTATCCGGGGTCGGGTCGCGGGGGCGGCAGCCTAAGCAGAGACCCAGACTTCCCTCTCCAGCTCCTTGGGCCAAATCATCTGGGGGAATCCCAAGGCGTTCCRAGGCCAGCCGAGAAACATAGTCCCTCCAGCGTGTCCTGGGTCTTCCTCTGGATCTCCTCCCAGTGGGACGTGCCCGGAACACCTCACCAGGGAGGCGTCCAGGAGGCATCCTAACCAGATGAACCACCTCAACTGGCTCCTCTCGACATGGAGGAGCAGCGGCTCTACTCTGAGTCCCTCCCAGATTACTGAGCTTCTCACCTTATCTCTAAGGGAGAGCCCAGACACCCAGTGGAGGAAACTCATTTCAGCTGTCTCATTATTTTGGTCACTACCCAAAGCTCGTGACCATAGATGAGGGTAGGAACTTAGACTGACCGGTAAAGAGAGAGCTTCACCTTCTGGTCCAGCTCTTTCTTCACCACGACAGACTGGTACAGCGCCCGCATCACTGCAGACAAAGCACCAATACACCTGTAGATCACCCACTTCATTCTTCCCTCATTCGTGAACAAGACCCCGAGATACTTAAACTCCTCCACTTGGGGCAGGACCTCCTCACCGACCCGGAGGCGGCACCCTACCCTTTTCCAGCTCAAGACTATGGTCTCAGATTTGGAGGCACTGATCCTCATCACAGCCGCTTCACACTCAGCTGCGAACTGCTCCAGTGAGAGCTGGAGATCACATCATCAGCAAACACCAGAGATGCAATCCTAAGGTCACTGCAAACATTTACTACTGGTTTTGCAGTGTACTGCCAGCTGTCGGTAAGAAAAGAACCCCACCAATATAAAAGTTAACTATAAATGCTATACACCACTAGGCTCAGGAGCATGCACACTCCACAGAGTCCTGTGTGAGTACCAAACAGCGAGTACCAAAGAGTGACTATAACTGAGCCTTTATACTGCAACTCTCCAAAAGATACTAGGGGAGCCAAAACTGACTTTTGGGATATCTTTGCCATTGCTTTTTCAGTCCTTGCGGTCAAGGTGCCTCGCTCCATTTTTCGCATGCTGTGAACACATCGATTTTCAATCAAGGCTGACCAAATGAAAGCTGGCAGTCCATCTCAAACTGCACAGAGTCAATCGCACAATCAGGCTTAACATCAACAGGCTAAAGCAAAGGAAAGATAGGACTTCGCCTTATCAATAAAATCCCACTGAGATAATGCAGGGGTAATCTTTGAAAACACAAAAGCAAAACAGCTGGAAAATGAAGCTATCACAGGGTCACCTTTACTAACACAAATATGCAATAATAAGTAACACAGTGATTAAAAGCTGAAGGAAAGTCAGAACGATGCTAAATAAAAACATGGTACTGAGCGCTAATAGCCAATGGTATGCTAAAGGATAAGCATTTTCTCCGTAAGRAAAGTTTTTTTAGTTTCAGTTCATTAAAGGGCAGTGCACAATTCAAAAATATTATAGTATGTTACCCACTGTTTTAAAATAACAATTTTTTTTACAGTGTGCCATAAAATAACAAAGTGGGGTACTGTCTCCATTGCACATCGAACATCACCACTGGCGTTCACTGCTAACAGATGTCTCAAAGGCTTAATTCAAAAGAAGTTTGAAATAAGATTTTATCACCTGGCTGCAGGGAAGAGATAGAGAGAGGCTGACAAAAGGCATCAAATATGAAAGAGACCAGTCGGCTCAGAAGGATATATAAGGCCTTGGTAAATCACAGCTTAGTTTATACATACGCACATACGCGCACACACACACACACACACACACACACACACACATAACTATACAGTATAAGCTGAGTGGTCAGACGTCTACATACACTCAATATGGGCATAAAAGACCTATTATTTTAGGATGCAAATACTTTTTTGAGCCATTTTTTCTTGGATGGAATAACTTTATGAGATATAGCTTCAATGATTTAAGAACTAGGGGGACAAAATTTTAATCACTTGCAATTTACACCTATACTACAGGCCTTATGTATCAGTTAACACATTCATGGTTTAATTCTGTTTGATATTTGACCACTTATCRGAACAACATTTTCAAAGTTTATTGAAATTGTTTGTTTTTTTCTTACAAATTCAACTTATAAGCAAAGTCCATAAAGGTTACACTAGGGCTGAGATTGTAGCTGTTGGCCAGTTCAGAAGCTTGAAGTGTAACTAACCCAAAAATCAACCTTATTTGCAAATAAACTGTTTAAATTGTGCCTGTAGGGTTATATATTTATATTTCTGTGCAAATTTTGACATTTTTTGTAAATTTGTAAAAAACTATACACAATATTTGGTGTAAAAATGTCTTAATGTTGCCCTCTATGGGTTGAAAAGTGTCTACTGCAGTTCAATTTTCCTATAGGCTAAAATGGTACAATGCTGTTTATATTGTATGTATAAATCAAAAATTCATCACAGCCATTTCCAAATGCCTTGAAAATGGTCTCTGTCTCTTTAGGAACCTCACGTCCATTTCTGCATGTCATCACAAAGTGCTTCCTCTGTTTACAACCTGTCTTAGGAGCACTGTATTTTGTTGTAATATAAATAAAAAAGCAGCAACATTATACAAATGGCAACTCGGAATACAATTCAACCTTATCTGAACAATTGCACATCAGACCAGAAAGTACATTTTCTGAAGAACTTGAGCGAGTAGAGAAACAATGTTTCAGCTTGGTAAGATATATCCCAGTCATCCTCACATATGTCAATGTTAAGCTAATTTACAGTATCTATTACTAAAATGAGGTGTGAGCCAACTAAAGAACACAGATCGTAATGTAAGTTACAAAAGATAACCATAGATCACAGATAGACCAAACAACGATGATGCAAACAAAACATGAGTTGTTTTTCAGCTTACCTGGGCAGACAACAGTGTTTTAAAGTTTGCCCAAGTAATTTTATGGTAAGATACTTGCACTTTTACTCAAGTATCACATTGAGGTGCTTTATAAAACACTGTATTCAAATAAAACACTGTATTCAAATAAATTTTAGTTTATGGATGCAGTATTTAAAAAATGCATTTGGAAGGCAACATTAGGGAGAGGTCAACTTTTGGAAAATGTAAATTATAAATAATTATTCTTTCAAAACACTAACTAATTACAGATAAGCTTGGACATTTGATCCTTGTCTCTTACAAATAATTTGATAAAAAGGCAGGACATCATGCTATCCTGACCTTGACCATCATTTTCTTATATTGTAACAAGCCCTTTATCAGATTATATAATAAAATCAAGAAAACAAACAAACATTTTTTGAAACTTATTACTGTGGTCAAACGGCACCAAATAGTAGGAATGAACTAAACAYAAAAAAAAAGTGTTATCTGTAATTTAGCCATTAATTCAGTGTACCACGCAGGCTGTTTTCCAGGCTCCCCGGTATGTGTAGCATTAGCCAAATGAAAGTTTAGCCAAATCTTTGGGTTTTATGATCAGGGTTAAATTTCTTGTAGGACAAAAAGTTTTCTTGCTTTCACATTTAATTGTTCTACAGCTCTTCTCAGCGCGTATAGAGGTCTGGTATTTAAATTTAGTAGGTGTGACTTCAATTGTAGAACTGCTATAAACAATGTGTGACTGTCCAAGTCCCCATCCTGCTGATCCAGATGCTGCTGTGCAGATTATGTCTCTGACATATGTGTCACTCCTCTATGTATAGTACTTTTAACAGCTTTGATCTTCAGTCAAGTTGGATGTCAATCATAATGCCATCTGGTGGAACCCAATACAAATCTCACCAACAAGGTCATATCCAAGGGCTCAGCCTCATCCGGATCACTCCTTTAATCTGGATTAGAGGCATCATGGCTGACAGCCTTTAATCATTTTGATGTGCTGTTAAAACGAGCCTATCTCCTCATGTAGTCCAGCAATCCTCTGCTGATCTCTGCTGACTGCTTTGTGTGAACAGTTGTGTCTGACTGTTCCGAGTCTCTTTTTTTTGTCAAATTTTGACACCATGATCAATTATTTATGCATGACAGTATCACTCACCATAAAAAGAGAGCTTTCCCCTCACTGTGTTCATTCCTCTCGAGTTCTCGGCCACACATTCATACGTGCCAGCATCCTCCTGCTGGAAATACGGGATTTCTAGGACTCCACTCGTCTTTCTCGTGTCAACTTTTCTGGGGAAGGGCACTCTGTCCACTCTCCTCCAACTTATAGAGGGTGCAGGGCTGTGAAAAGATGGCAAGAGGTGGTTAATGTCAGACAAACGCTTATACAATTTTGCACAACTACTTTGTTGTATCATTGACAAAAGAACAAAGCAGGTAGAGTTTGATGTAAGTTGATGAAAATTAATTATGACCAAGTTTATTCTTTGTTGGCCACTGTCCACTTAATGACATGAAACAATGTGCATCAAGCTTATAGCTATTTCTCAAAATTACAAACCAGATTTACTGGAATTGTGCCAGTTCTGACTCATAAGAAAAGGAGTGTTTTCCAATTTGAAGTGGTTTCCTGTGAAAATAACTGAACAGTAGCTATCTCAACTCTAAGTTCCAAACTGTAAAAAACACCATTCTGTTTCAAAAGATAAGTGCAGATTAGTGTTTCATTGTGTATGGGACAAAATGAACCCTTGTTAATCTCTTTACAAAGAGTGAAATAGCAGGCTTGAATCAAAAACTAAATGAAACAAAAAAACCTTGCTAGAAGTTTGCTTTGTATTCTAACAGTCATAATGGCTGATATTGCTTTAGGGATCAAGTAGACTTTATTGTCATTTGCATCACGTTTTATATGAGGTGGAACGAAATTCCATACCTACAAGAAAAACACCCCAGAACAACTTAAACAGGGAATACAATAAGGTATAAATTAATAACTTATTTTAAAAGAGAAGTAGACACAGTGATAAACAGTGGTAATGGCAACATTATGGAGAAAGATGAGCCACGGTGACTTGAACTGTAAACACAATATAGCAGCATGAATGGTTTGCACAGGATGAATAAAGTGACATTAATGATTAAGGTGACAGTGTCAGTAAAGTGATAGTGGATAGTCAAATATTTCATTTTAACATTTCATTTTCATTTCCATATGCCCAGCTTGACCAAATGGTAAGAAATAAAAGACCAGGTGTCGGATTTATAAAACTGGCGTAAGCACAATTTGAGCCCAGAAACTTGCGTACGCCACTTTGTACGCCAAGGTTGTGATTTATAAAATTCAAACTTGACGTGAAAATGTGCGGTGCCTCACGCCAGCTCTGACCCATGTGTACGCTCATTTTGGAGACGTGAAACTGTGACACAGATGGTGAAGTGAGGAATTAGAGCCACACTGTGTAATGATCACTGTCAGAGATTTAAATTTAATTTACCTTCAGAATCAGACTTAAATAAAAGTTCCCGTGCGCAACTCCATTCATCTGCTTCCTCAGACGACCCTGACCCACAGACCCCTCCCCGATAAGAACAGCAGGACAGCAAAAGCTTTGGATCCACGCGCAGGGCGCACCCACCTCGCCAGTGTGAAAGTTAAACCTTCACGTTTAAAGCCCGTGTTTGTCACGCGTGCGCGGGGGGGATGCGTGCGTGCTTGCGTGCGTGTGTGTGTGTGCGCGCGGYGGGGGGGGGTGTCTGCCGCGGATAACAGAGCAGGCAGGAGGGGGAGAGGAGAAGGAGAAGAGCAGTGAACTTATTTCTAATTTTATCTGACTTATTTAATTTTATTTTTATTGTTTTTATCATCCTGCAGGCTCTGAGGGAAAATTAATTTGAAGCTGAGGTTTTTATAAAAATCGTTAGATTACTCTAAAGCAAAATGAGGGAAAATCTGTGTCAATTACAGACAATCTGCTCATGTGAGCAGCTGTCGGTCAGCACCTGTCAACCTCCAGACGCACGACGGTGCGTGTCTGAACCAATCACTTTTGTTGGCATTGATCAGCTGACTGATTTAAATACATCTTAACATTCATGAGGTACTTTGCATTGACTGTTTATGGTTGAGTGTGGGCGTGTAGAGGGTAGAACCTGAGGCGGGACCTCGTGCGCAAACTCTGACGTGTGGCTGTGATTTATAAAGGAAAGATGCGCAGAAACATGCGTACGCACTGTTTTATAAATCAGAATATTTTTGGCGTATGCCATTTCCGCCTTTTGGCCGTACGTTCACTTTTAGTATGGTTTCCACGCAATCCTTTATAAATGAGACCCCAGAACACTGTCCACAACTTCTGTGTTTCCTCTTTCAGCCTTGGTGTTTCTTGTGCTTTTTGTTTTTCTTTCTGATGTTACATTTATTTTGGAATCCTAGATCTGTCACCACTGCCTTGTTGGTTAGCCATCAGCCTGGATCTGAAAGTCTCACAGGTTATTAGCTCCAATTTCCCATTAACATCCCATAATATCACACAGACGTTGCCAGGCTTAAAACACAAAAAGGATTGCATTCAAATGAAAAACATATGACCTCCATTTGAAAAAAAAATCAGTCAATAAATAAAATAAATCCAACACTTTCAAGGCAAAATTTAGATGCTACTAAGCATGGTAATCCTGTAGTAAGAGTGGGCTTACTTTCCCAGAGCAAAACATTCCAGTTTTACTGTAGATCCTTTTGAAACTTGAATGACCTCTGGAAACTGCACTTCAATTTTTGGCTCATATTCACCCATAACGCCTGAAAAAGAAATGCAAATGAGAAGCAGTGTTAGAAAACAAACAAACAAACAAACAAAAAGCTTTATGTCTGTGTGTGTGCATGTTCCTTAACCAACTCTGAAAAAAAAGTCAAACTTACTTCCATCACAACCAGACTTCTGAGGACCTTCTTCCTAGCATATGCCCGATTTTACAAAAATATGTTGGGCATTTCTTACGTTTAGTGTTCACAGAAAAAAAAAACCCACATTCATCTCACAGCACTAACACAGTATGCTAACCCACAGAAAAAAAGAGAAATAAACTTGAACACATCACATGTAAAAAAAAAATCAGGGCAAAACTAACAAATAAAGATTTCACAGACAGTTTGATTATTTACATCTACACAAATTTCATTGTGTAACTAACAGCTATATACCAGAAAAACCCTGAGTACTGCCACTGTGTTTGCAAAAACTCCCAGTGACTGTCAGTGAAGCAGCTCMACCAGATTATAATATTCCTGCTGTGCAAACTAAAATCTTTGCTTAAGGGGAAAGATTAAAATGTAGACCTTGTTGTTCTCTAGCTTTGGACATTTTCATAAATGAAAATTGATGGTTTTTCATGACTTTAAAGAGCAAATATACTTTACACTTTCCCTTAAATGGTGTAAAATGAAATATATGTACCGGTATGTGTTAGTATAATTTTTGGTTGTTCCAGGTTGTTTATCACCCCTCTGCTTTTAGACAAGTAAGATATAAATTGTATATAAGAGACAAGTAAGATTTAAATTGTATATAAGATTGTATTTTAAGCTACATTTATCCACCAGCACAGCAACAGGCTTTTCTCAAGGGTTGTAATTCAGGCCTTTGTTGCACAAATAGCTGCAGAGATAGAGGGAACAGGCGAATTTCATCATGTGGATCTGGTCAGGCACGTTTTATCAGGATGGCTCCCTGAGCAACTGTGAAAGCTAATTCAGATCCTTATCGGAACCGTCTCACGCTGAAACGAAACCACAGCCATGTTCGAGCAGACAGGTGGAAGGGAACACGTAATTGRTTCATACCATAACCTTTGTAAGGAACACCTGTTTAACGTGCCCTCTGTCACTCTCCGATCTAACCCCCACATTTTGGTGCTGAAGCTGATGTTTTATCTGCTGACCCATCTGCTGCGGTAAAATAAAAGCAGAATGAAAGAAAGAGAGAAGTTTCTCTTGAACAAACAGTATGCCCAATGTGCAGACACTATTTTGGCAACTTTAAAAACTTAACTGAAAATACATGATTTTACTTTCATTTGAACAAGTTCATATTTTTGCCAGTTTTTCCTTTATGTCTAATTTATAGTTATTTAAGTTTAAAAGAAAACAATGCTGATAGTTTACTACTCGCAAACTACGCTGAGGCCTCGTCTTGTGCATAATTGACCCCAGTCAGAGATAGTTTGTTACAGGGTATATGTCAAGAACCGTGTGATTGGTCAGGATTTTGTGGGTGTGTTTGTTTATGAAAGGTGGCTGCAGGGAGCTGCTCTCTGAGAGCAGCATCTTCTGAGGCAGAGTGCACATTCTACAGGCAGCTGACCAGAGAGGGTAGGAGTGTGTTCCCAGAAAATGTCTATTTGTGACTAATTTACAAAACAGTGCTTCTCTTTGGTTAACAACAGAAACACCAGAACATCGTCCTCCAACTCTCCCATCATCAAATGAAAACAAACATCCACTTTTGCCAAACACGCTATTTGTGTTGCTTGTTTGTGTGATGTCTGCAAAGTGGGATGGCTTCTTGTCTACGGTTGTTGAATTATAGAGAATCTTTAAGAATGGTTTCATTTTGTGCAGTGAAACTGTCAACTGGCAGGATAGCAGACTAAGGGTTATGAAATATTCTGCTGCATCATCTGAGTCAAATTCCAAGTGTGTATTCAGACCAGGAAAGTTCTTTTGACCGCTTGTTTGGTCTGGACCAAAAGTGGACTTTATTTTTTCCGTTTGGTGCAGTTTGCATTCACATTGTGCTTTTTTTGCAAACAAACTATAACTTGTAAACAAAGCCATGAGGGTGACAATCATTGCTCCCACTGGACAGAAAGGACGGGGCAGGATTGAGAGCACAGACACAGAAAAAACAAGGAAGTTCTGCATGCTGCAGTTCTGATGTGCACATTTTTGCTGGTAGTACAACTGCAATAGCATTTAAAATGTCAAAAGCAGCTAATTTAATGGTGGTTTTGTGATGATATTCTAATTTTGGTGCAACATCAGTAAATGTGTCCTGCAACCCAAAGGAGACGAGGTGCTCTGCGTGTTCTGATCCACTACATGCTGACAGCAGAGCTGCTAAGCAGGAGACGATGTAACAGGTATGATTTCAGTTTATTTAGCTCAGCAATGGTGGCCTGTGAAGTCCAAAAAGGCGCACGTTTAATGCAGTTAGTTCAGTTAGAGTCTGGTCTGTATTCACACCTGCGAACTGATGCGAACCACACCAGAGTTCYTTTGGAAACGAACCAAGACCACCTCAAAAAGCGGGTCTCGGTCCGGTGGTTTGATCCGCACCAGAGTTCGCATGAGTGTGTTCACACCTGCACAAAAAGTCCGGACCAACGCTGGAAATGAACTCTGCTTCGTTTAAAGTGGAGCAAACTGTCAGGTCTGAATACAACCTAAGGAAAATATGCTTTTTTKTTTTTGTACTGTTAAACTGTATTTTACAACAACAGCCCTTTTCACAGTGTTGCGATCTGGCATGAGATGACCCCATCTTTAGGGGACATTTGGTTAAAATTTGAACCTGTCAAGCCAACAAATTTCAGTGTATTACTGCAACATTGTAGGTCAGAACCACTGACATTTTAATACTAGACCAAGTTTACCCGCATCTAAGAACAGTGCTGGAGATGGATCAACATGTGCAGGCCAGCCTGGTGGGGCTCATTGACCAGGTGCCGGACGACCATCCGGTGCCACGGTTCAGTGAGTCAGGTCTTGTACAGGGTACCTTTCGTGTGACCTGTGCAGACGAACCAGCTATGGAATGGCTCGTATGTGCTGTCTCTCAGATCCCTAGTTGGAAGAGCCATGGATTCTCTGCCAAGAGAGTCCGGGACCTCCCAGTTCTTAAGAGAGTTGCTGTGTTTGTGCCTGGGGAACCTGCAGAACTCCAGGTAGTTCTGCGCCGACTCCGGAGACAAAACCCATGACTGCAGACAGATGTCTGGAGGGTAGTTAATGTTGAGCGGCAAACTACTGGTCAGTTTCTGCTTCTAGGTGTGGACGACAAGTCTCTAGATGTCTTAGCAGATCTGGGGAACAGGCCATACTATGAGCTAAGCCGGTTGACCTTTAAGGTCAGTGGCAAAGCAATTAGTGAGGCCAAGTAGTGAATCATATCTTACCTCCCAGTCTTTGTGGCTGTGGGGATGATGGAATTCATTCAGATTAACTTGCATCACTGTAAAGATGCCAGTACATTGCTGTGTACTGACCTGAGCAGGATGCATACAGGCATAGCCTTCATCCAAGAACCTTGGATTGTAAAATCTATGGTAAGAGGCCTGGGATTTCCTGGGGGCTCACTTCTTTATGATGTGAGCAGCCAAAGGCCCAGAGCAGCAGTAGCCCTGACAAGAGGTGTAAGATACATTGCACTGCCCCACCTAACAACAGGTGATGCTGTAGCAGTACAGCTGGATATTCATTCAAATGGTGAATCCAGACAAATTATTGCAGCTTCTGTTTATCTACCATTTGATTCCCAGCAGCCACCTCCATCACAGGAGTTTGTGGCGATAGTCGATTATGCTAAAGCTAAGGGTTTCTCCATACTTATAGGCTGTGATGCCAACTCCCATCATGTGTGCTGGGGAAGCTCTGATATTAACCTCAGAAGCAGATCTCTGTTGGAATACTTGCTGACAGAAGATCTGCTAGTTTTAATCAGGGCAATGTACCTACCTTCCAAACCATTAACAGGAAGGAGGTCATTGATATAACAGTCGGGTTTATGGGCTTGGTAAACAGCATATGTGACTGGGAAGTGTCCCCAGAGGAAACCATGTCAGACCATCGACGTATTCAGTTTAAGCTGAAGATGGGGAAACCATGCCCAGTCACTTACAGAAACCCAAAGAACACCAATTGGAATGTGTTTATTAACAATCTATCTGGGTTGATGGGTGGGAAGAATTGCCAGGATTGAAACTGTGCAAGACATAGCGACAGAAGTCACAAACATGACTGATGCTGTGCAAATTGCCTACAAGTCTGCTTGTCCAGAGAAAGTCTGAAGGCCATCAAAGCCGCCGGCTTGGTGGACTCCAGAGTTGTCTGACCTCCGTAAGGCAGCAAGAAATAAATGGCAAAGATACAGGTCCCAACCAAGTAAAAGCAGGTGGGAACAGTATGTACAGTCTCACAATCACTAAAAACGTGTTCTAAGGAAGTGTAAGACTTTCTTGGAGAAAGTTCTGCGAAGAAGTCAAAGGGCCTAGTGCCTCTTCTAAGCTGTACAAGCTTCTTAGAAAGGATCCAGTCAATGAATTATCCTTTGTTGTTCCACCAGAAGGATTGCCAGTCACACAAGAAAGTYTGCTTCAGCATCTTCTCCAGGTACATTTTCCGGGGGCAGAAGAGACTGCACAGCCTGATACAGTCGAGGCCCTAAATTCAACTGATGACGACTGGAGCAGAGCTTCAAGTATCATTACAAAAATTAAAGTAAAATGGGCAATTAATATATTTGACTCATTTAAAGCTTCTGGTCCAGATGGTATTTTCCCAGCGCTTCTTCAAAGAGGACTGTATTTACTTCCGGACACAATAACTAGAATATATGTTGCTTGTCTGGCAAACAGTTATGTACCAGTTGGGTGGAGGACGGCAAAAGTCATATTTCTGCCRAAACCTGGTAAATCAACATATAGAGAAGCAAAATCTTTCAGAACCATCATCTTTCTTGCATGAAGGGAATGGAAAGGTTGATAGATAAACATATAAGAGATGGCACCTTAATGCAATCACCCTTAAGTTCTAAACAACATGCATATCAGGCAGGTCTTTCTACAGAAACAGCCTTACATGATGTTGTTTTGCGAATAGAACACAGTCTGGCACATGGACAATATGCGCTTGGCTGCTTTTTGCACATACAGGGGGAATTTGATAATGTTCCTGTAGAAGCTATTGAGAGAGCACTTGTCAGCAAAGTTGTGGATGAGACATCCACAAAATGGCTCATTTTCATGCTTTGGACAAGGAAAGCATCTTCAGCTCTGGGGGACTGCTCAGTAACTGTTAACTTCAAACGGGGCTGTCCACAGGGAGGAGTAATCTCGCCCCGGTGCTGGCTCCTGGTTGTTGACAGCCTACTAAGTGAGTTGAATAGATCTAGACTTCATACACAAGGATATGCCGATGACTTGGTCATACTTATAGAAGGCCTTGGTACTGTATGTAACCTAATGCAAAGGGGACTAAACATAGTCTCCAGATGGTGCCGTGAGCAGGAACTTTCTGTCAACCCAAACAGGACAGAATTGGCTCTTTTCACTCAAAAGAAGTCAAGGAAGGGGTACTCACCTCCAGATTTGAAGGGTGTAGAACTCTCCCTGTCAGAGTCAGTTAAGTTCTTGGGTGTCTATCTAGACAGGGAGCTTAACTGGAAAAGACACGTAAATGAAAAGTGCAAGAAGGCAGCAATGTGCCTATACCAGTGCCGTAGAATTGCAGGTAGTCGTTGGGGTGCTACCCTAAAGGTTATCAGATGGATTTACACGGCCATAGTCCGCCCCATGRTATGCTATGCTGCTTTAGTGTGGTGGGTTCGAGTTCAAATTGGGCTGGCAAGAGCGATGCTCACTCATGTGCAACAATTGGCTTGCCTGAGCATCACAGGTTCCATTAGAACAACACCCACGGCAGCCCTTGAAGTCCTACTGGATCTGACTCCACTGGAATTGGGGCGGCTGTGGCGGAGTGGTTAGGGGAGTCGTCCTGGAACCAGAAGGTTACTGGTTCGATCCCCCGTCCAGCTMTCTCAGTCGTTGTGTCCTTGGGCAAGACACTTCACCCACCTTGCCTACTGATGGTGGTCAGAGGGTCCGGTGGCGCCGATGCATGGCAGCCCCACCTCTGTCAGTGTGCCCCAGGGCAGCTGTGGCTACAGTGTAGTTTGCCATCATCAGTGTGTGAATGTGAGTGTGAATGGGTGAATGTCTAGCTGTTAGTGTAAAGCGCTTTGGGGGTCCGGAGGGACTTGAAAAGCGCTCTATAAGTTCAGTATCATTTACCATTTACACATCTTAGGTGAGGCTGCATCCAGCGCGGTGAGGCTGCATCAGTCTGATAGGTGGAAAAGCCTATCCGACTCAAAGCACAATAGAATCTGGGACTGGGCAGTTGCTGCTGTTCCAGTAATTGCAGGCCCCAGAGACAGAATGGTCAAAAAATACAATTTTGAACCAAGTTTCAAGACAGAGATTGAAGATAGGTCAGCCTGGAGTAATTTCTCTATGGCGAAACTGTCTTCTGATTATTTCTACTGTTTTACAGATGTATCCCTTATAAAAGGGGTCAGTAGGTGCAGGGGTGCTGATTTTGCACAACCACAGTGAGAGAGAGTACAGTTACCCACTAGGTGGTTTTGTAAAGGTATCTCAAGCTGAGATACACAGTATGCAATCCACCATTGTGCAGCACCTCTCAAAGAACTGCAGTGTATGCAGAAGGAAATATTCATCCTGACAGATAGCCAAGCTTCTATTAGAGCTCTCCAAGGGCCACAGTTTACGTCACTACTGGCTTGGGAGTGTGCCAAGGCAGTCACCCAACTGGGGAGAGTTAACAGTGTTACTATTAAATGGGTACCAGGACATAATGGCATCTATGGTAACGAGAGAGCTGAACGCCTTGCAAGAGTTGGTTGTCAAGCCCACTTTAAAGGACCAGAGCCTGCTATAGGCATTTCAACAACAATATGTAGGACTGCCCTACAGGCATGGATCAGACGTCAACACTCAATTCGCTGGAGGGAGCTGACGGATTGCAGACAGGCACGAGAACTGATAAAGGGCCCAAATCCAAAGGAAGAGCCCTTCTTGCCCTGACGAGGAAAACTTTAAGTACTTTGGTTGGAGTCCTAACTGGGCAKKACTTGCTCAACTGCCACAAAATGGTGATGGGACTCCATGAAAATGGTCTGTGCAACGCCTGTGGCATTGAATTAGATACCTCTTTACACTACTTGGGCCAATGCTTGGCCCTGAGTAGTCAAAGGGAAAGAATTCTTGGAGAAACTTTTATGGATCCCAAGAAGCTTAGAACACTGAGTGTTTCTAACCTGGTGTCCTTCTTTTGAGGGATGGGAAGATTTGATTAAAACACAGTGTCTCTTTTGGGGAGAGTGATGGGCGTATTTTTGAGGCCTCTGCTCACATGGGTTTKGCCCATCCCCATATACCATAACCATACCAGCTTTTTCTTGTTGTGAAGTAAAACCAGCAGACGGCAATGTTGTATTTTTGGGACCAAATTGTGCGCACTGGGGATGTGTGCTGATCACACTCATGTGCAATTGTGGTGTTACATGAGAGTTTATTTAGGCATGAAAAAATAATACCAGCTAAACATATTAGAAAAACAAACATTTGAACACATAGGTACATGAATCAACAATAATCAACACCTAAATAAAATCTGAGGTGTGTTTGTATGCTTTAACTAGATATCGCAGTAGCCTATGTGACCCCCGCACAAAAGCAAAGCACCCCCTCACCAGACCTCACATGCAGGTTGCGGCTGTTTGAGATGTTCTGGTAATTATATGAGAAGTGACTTTGGAATGGTTATTACAAATGAAATATTTTGTTTATGGAAATATGGAAAACAAAAAAAACTGATCTGTTCTTGGTAGTCTATTTATGTAGAGGTGATAATGAAACAAACCACATTCACATGCATGATGTCATATGTGTAGCATATATGCATATATATAT